TACAGAGTTCGGGTCTTATAACCCTTATCGTAGCCTAAAAGTTTCAGCCAAAACTTGATTTTCTTTCACGAAATGTTTAGCTTTCAAAAAGCCCTCTTATGCCACATATGTATCAAGAGGATCGACTTTTCTTGAGTACTCAGTATTTCGTGAAAGAAACATTCGTTTTGGCTGAAACTTTTAGGCTACGATAAGGGTTATAAGACCCATATGTAGACAAAGTTTCAGACCCAAACTCTGTAAGTAGATTTTTCCATGAATATCTTATCATATTTGAAAAATTCATTAAAATGACCGTAACTCTAGAATAAGGGTCTATGGTCCCTTATTCTTCTAGGCTTTTTCTAGTCTTAATAGATCCTACTTATAAGCCAAATATCAGCTTAGAAGCTTTTTATCACTTCGGATACTTCTCTCGTAAGACCTCAATCAGGCAAGCTTGCTTACAAAGTTTCAGAAATTTTAGACAGATTATCTCCGAGATATGAATCCGGCAAAATATTTATGTGAAACCTAGTATCTATAAGAAAGCGTCACTATGTTAACATACTTGTATCTCGGAGACAGTCTTTCCGAAATTTCTGAAACTTTATAAGCAAGCTTGCCTGATTGAGGGCTTAGTGTAGACAAAGTTTCAGGTCGAAATTCGAAACCTTGATTTTACTGCATAGATAGGGCCCTATAGGACAAATACAATAAATAGTCGATATCTCAGGCAAACATCAACTTGGGCTCATATCCTTCTAGGCTTTTTCTAGTCTATATATCCCCTACTTTTGAGCAAAATTGCGGCTCAAAAGCTTTTTGATACCGCGAGAGGTTTCCTCGTTAGTAGTGCCGCATACGTAAAAATGATGACACGATCAGTTAGTGGAGCACAAATTTAAGGATTGGAATTTATCGCCGTATTTCCATAAACCTCTTGCATCCCCCATCGCTCCTTATTACTCTCCAAAGAATATAAAAACTAATATTTATAATGTATAGTCTGACCGAAGGCCCTAATTGTTTTTATTTTGATGCAACTTCTATGATATACTAAGAAAATAAATTTTTTTAGGAAATATACTATTCGTATAAGGCTGCTTGGCCGATCAATAGCATTATACGAGTACCATAATTCGGAGAACAATTCTTTTTTATATATTATAAATATTGAATAAGAAAAAAATAGAATTGGATCGTCCGTCCAGCCTCAAGAGCCCATTTATTTTAATTAATACTTGCTGTTGGATTTATCTTTGATAATAATCGATGAACAAAAAAATAAAGAACAAAATTTACTTAAATGTATAAATACTTATTGATCGATTTATTATTATAAATAACCTAAAAATAAAAAATGAAATTTGCTTTAAAGAAAAGAATTACTTGCTGTTCGTTTGATCAATGTAAATAATCTACAAAGAAAAACAAAACTTATTAATTTAATTAATACTTACCATAGAATTAGTCATTACATAATTCAATAGAACATGCATGTATGGTCGATATTCTTCGACTAACCAGTGAAAAGTGAATCCGCAAGTAGACACTTTATTTTTGCTGCACTCTTCTCTATGAGATAGAGAATATGAACAAATATTTGTATTTAACTCGTATATATCAATACAAGAAAATCCATCTTTTCAATATATTCTAATATACATTTTTCTCCAATTGAAATAATTACACTTTACTTTTGTAGAATCTGCAACGTTGCAATTTCTTAATTGAGAATATATTCAAACTAGTTGTTTAATTTAAAATGTAATCTTTTCTATTGTTTTTTCCCCTGAATCATCGAAAGAAAAAAAAAAGGACATTCAAAGTGAGTTCAACAAACATGAAGAAATGATTTTAGAGTAAACGTCTTGATGTTTTACTTATTTTTAATATCGTAATTAGGAAAATTTTTTCTCTCTGCATTTTCTATAAATAACTTCCATATTCTGAAACAATTTTGTACAATTAAAAAACTATTCTTTCTTACATTTTTTAAATAAAATATGGTGTCTCTCATGATATAATTCTATTTATGTAAGAGAAAATCATCGTTTTCTAATTTTTTTACTTATAATATCAAGTATAATTCGAGAAATAAATTCTAATTAATATTTTTTTTCTATTTAGCTAATTGTAAAACGTAAGAAATAATACATACAGTGATAAAACTATAGATTTCTCGTATTTTTGAAAAAAATATTCTTTTGTTCGACTTCATGGCATTATGTTAATGATGATTCTATTTTTTTTCTCATCGTTCTCGGTTTGTCGATTCGGAAAATAAAAAAGAAAAAGTAAGAATAAATACAATATTTAGATTATTTTTATTTAAAATCAAGAGATGTTTAACGATAGTGATCTTAGACAACAATTTTGATTAAAAAATGATGATTATAACAATATTAAACATCGATCTATCCTGTAAAAATGACACTAGTAATGACGTTGAAATATCAAAAATATATAGTTTAGCTGCAAAAAAAATCTTATTTGTGTAATTATATATTTCTTTTTTTTCTTTCATGTAATAAAAGAATATGAGAAAAAAAATATTCATCTGTCTCCATAGAAATTGTACAGGGAAATACGATTCAGCCAGCATATATGACAGTTTATTGCAGTAATGTTCGCGTTTCTATATAGTTTCCTACAGTCATGTATCTTCTAATATTATATTTCTCAATAAACAAAATCTTTGAATATCTGATTACTAATTTTTTTCCAAAAAAATTTCTACTGTTCTTCAATATGAATATTTTTTGTCTAGAAATGTTCATTCGATAGTCTCTATGATGATCTGAAAGAATCAAGATTGTTTTTTCTAAGATATACAAAAGTCAGTACTTACCAAAAGATATTTTCTTCTGTTCAGAATAAAGTAAGAAATTTGTTGTGTATTTAATTTGATGAAACTTCGTTATGAAGAGAAAAAAAAGAAAAAGAGTAGATATTTTTAATATGAATAATTGTTCTCTGCTGATATTAACAAGATAAAAAGAATGTCTTACTCTTAGTTACGAAAGATTTCTTTTTTTAACTAGCTGATTACGAGAGTCGTTATTTTTCTGCGACATCACTATAGTGTCGTGCAAATGTTAACAGAATGCAACAATATTATTTCAAACATGATGATGAAATATAAGGAAGTAGAAACAAGACATTCTTATTACAACATCCAATATTCCCAGTTGAAAATTTAGTTCTTAAAACTGTTCAAAAATATATGCGTTACTTATTTTTAATCTCTCTGAGTAACAACTAATAGACAACGATTAAATAAAATTGAGGACAAGAGTGAAGGCATTTGTAATAGCCATCTTTGCTTCTATCAAAATAAAAAATGAATCTATTTTTTTATTTTACAAAACGAAACAACAAATAAAAAAGAATTTATACAATATTCAACTCATTAATTTATATAATGTTGATGAATAGCAGTGGAAATACCAGTTATAGGTTGAAAATATTGATTACCTATTGGAATAAAATCAACTTCACGTTCAACATTAACACGTCCTGTATAAGGATTACGATAAAGTTCAACATCTTGTGAATAAACTCCATAACCATATTACCATAACTAATAGTTTGATAATTTCTACTTCAACTAGTCACTGGACTAATAGCAGCAATTGTTTGGGCAAACATTTTATTAATAATTATTAAGTGTAATAAATAGTGAATTTATATTTATATGAATGTATGAAAATAAGAAAGAAATTTGTGAGTATTTATACTAAGATGATACATCTGTGTAATAATACAAGCTATTGTTTATAGAGAATAGAAATAGGAGCGTCATATAATGTACGTCAACGATGATCTCATACTTCCATCATTGATAAAAATAAATGTTGTGAAGTGCAACTAAGAATATTCGTGAGTATACTCTAAAACAGTTTTATTTTGATTACATTTATTCTAATAGTTCATTTTGATGATTTTTAAGATTTTTAAACTGTAAAGTGATTAAAATTTGATTGTTAATATTTGACTTACAATGTTCTCTAAGATTTTCTTTCACATAATAAAGTCTTTCATAATTAATTCTTCCTATGTATTTATTTAAATCTTTATGTAAGCGTCATACAATGACAAACGACTCTAACCAATAAAGCAGAATCATATAAGTTTCAGAGATTTTATTCATAAAGTTATTGAAAAAAAAATTACATCTATGATTTGTTATTCGTAAAATAAAACTGTCCGATATTAAAATTCAACCACTTGATATTGTCATATTCTTACAAATGTTATCAACTCGAACAATATTTTTAATATTTGTTTTCATGGTCGTTTATTAAGTTCTAATTAAACTAGAATTGAAAGTATTCTTCATAAAGATATAGTTAAATATGTGTATCTCAAATTTGATTATTTATAAAATATTCCAAGATTAATTGGTTTATTTTTTCATAGTAGATTTAACTAATAATTTCCAAATATCACATCTTGAGGGTGTGAGTGTAGCAGTGAATGTGGATATTATTTTTATCTCACATCCACACCCGTAATATATTATCATCAAGTTGAACAGAAATTCACTACAACTTTTGATCCATCAATACATAATATTCTCTAAAAGCAATTTATCAGTTTTCTACATTTGATGTTTAATAATTTTCTGTACTTTATGATAAACACAAAGGATTTTCTATAAGTATCAATTTAATTTTTGTCTTCATTCTGAACCTTTCTCGCGTCGATATAATATGTCGTGCAAAATTTGATTGCATTAATTCTGACAGAAACCCAATGCATAAAGAATAGCTAAACAATGTTTTTTCTTTATTACTACAAGGCTCTTTTGTAATTGAATTGATCGAATGAGAAGAAGAAGAATATTTTCCTTATCCACTAAATGATTTTGTTGTAAAAAAAACTAACTATTCATATCCATCCTCTCCAAGCACATACAAGTGAAAGAGAGAGATAAGCAAAGGAAATAAGGAGAAGACAGATGTTAATTTAGCAACAGCAAACCTTGGCACATGATTTTTTAACGGTAACGGTTTTCTTTCTGATAACTTTGCAGACTGGTTTGCAGCAGCACACTGTGGTACGCACACAACATCGTGGACCACAACAACAAGGACCACAACAAGAACAACAGCATGGATCACAACAACAAGGACCACAACAAGAACAACAGCATGGATCACAACATGGACTGCAGCAAGAATCACAGCATGGATCACAGCATGAACTGCAGCAAGGACTACTGCAACAACCGCAACCACAACCGCAACATGATGAACGACAACAGGCTGGCATATTAATAGTAATAATGTGAAGTGAAGTAAAATTAAAGTACGATGAGAACTGGTTTGTGAAACTATGAGAAAAGATGTGTATATATATATATATACAGAGACAAAGTAACGAAGAAAACTGTTTTCATTAGACAAAAACAATTCATTACTGTCCTCACGTGACAATACCTGTCATAAACATGTGATAGAGAAACATATGGGAAGAAATAAGTAACGCTTTATTACTCTTTATGCAATACAAAAAAAACAAGAAATTTACGCTTATTGTCAATGTCTTTCCTTTGATTTGTTTGACAGTGTCGAAAACATCTAAATTTAATTGCACATTCACCTTGTGACCACAACTCTCAAAGGGTAAATGTCATTTGATACACCTTTTTGATGAAAAATATTGATTCTTACGTTCTAGTACACACACATTATAATATCATCAAATTACGTGAATATCATAACATAGCACAATAAAGAGCATTGAGTAAAATATATAGTATATGAATACAATAACAATAACAACAACACTGATTTCATGTATGAGTTGTTTATGAATGAATGTTTCGGTGGTGTAAAGACGCGTAAAAGTGAATACAATGAGCATACTGCGGAAGTTAAGAATTGTCTTTTCATGTGAAATCATCTGTTTAGCAATACTTCACTTCAAGAATGATGTCCATGATTCATCTTTCACTATTTTTCTTCATAAACCATGATGATGCATGTGTTATTTCCTTAGTCACGAATTACATTTATAAAAGATGATAAAATGAGTGAAAGAGTGTTGTAGAAAGAAATAAGTATTGTATTTCACAGATATAAGAATCAATTAAATCAGTCACAAATGTTTAGTATAGTGTAAATAGAACAAATAATGTTGATCATACTTTTAAATGGTCAGTGAATGATTAACATTCTATGAATTTGTCATATTTAGAAGTATTAAGATATTTTTAATTGTATACAATCGTGGCTCGTTAACGAATAATGATTGTTGAGAAATATATTGAATTAATACGCTATGATATTAAAATGACGTAAATTTATCTTCACAGGTTTTCATTACGAAAATGATTTCGATCGAGAATGATGCTAGAAATATGAAACAGATAGTTCGGTGTATATTATAGCATCCATTCTCTATGGAACAATCATTGATTCAATCATTGTTCACTTGGCTTCTAATGCATCCGGAAAAACCATACTTCGATATTAACTGATACAATTAAATTCAAAAAAAAATGAAGATATTCCCTAAAGTATTTTCATTGATGAAACAACAACAAAATAGACACGGACGAAAAACTATATTAGATAATGGGGTGCGGGTCTGGATGAGTGTCCTGCTAGATGAATCATGCTGATCCACAACTACCCTCTCATCCATACATATCATAAACTCTTAATCAATTTAAATTATCATATATAATAATTTATTTTAATCTTGAATTACTTAACAACAAAATAAATTCATAAATATTCTAATTCTATCATATTGTCTTTATTACTTCTGAGAACAATACAAATAGAATAAACATGTTTACATTCATAAAAAATATTGAAATTTAATCACTATGTTATTGATATGCATTTCGATGATCTGAAATAGTCGCAACAATGCTCGAGGATGTGAGTATCGCTTTAAAAATAAAGATATTACATCCATCCTTCGCCCATATTCATATTCATCCACAATCGCTGATTGATGAACACATATTTCTATGTAGAAAGTTTTTTAATAAAACTGATTGATTACAAATGATTCATATCGTGTGGGTAATACTACTGAAGCGAATATTAATAGAAAATAATTGAACTGTAAACACATATATGCATTCAATATTATTCATGATATTTTCTAGACATTCTGAAAGTTCAGAGATTATATTTTTAGTATTAATAAACTAACCTCACTTAAAAGAATTATATCGAGATGTCTTTTTAAGTATATGTAAAAGCTGTAAAATAATTATCGTGCTTAGAAAAAATTCTAATTATATAAATTGGAAAAGTGAGCACGTTTTTAGACATTATAGATTATGTGTATAAATAGTAATGCTTACTTCTTATATGATTCATGGCGTACATGAATAAACTCAAGTATGTTTTTCTCTGTATTTCATAGACTGTAAAGAAAAGGTCTAGAAACGGGAATTGATCTATTTACATGTATTATTTCTGTTGGTAACATGGCACATTTGATAGCACAATATTTAAACTATTTGTTAAAAAGGACGCGAATTTAAACATTTGTTAATCATATGTAGATCATTATTTTACTGAATAAATTAAAATAATGAAGACGATGAAAATAATATTAATAACAAAAAAACGGAACATACGTATACACAGAATATTATAATGCTTTGGAAAAGAAAATGTTCATCTATTTTTATATACCATGACGTTCATCATCATCATCAGTAAATAGTTTTAGTCCATGCATGAAAAGAACGACGATGTATCCAAACATCTCGTATCACAAATCGGAAAAGCAATACCCAGGATCAGAACCTTCGAAAACTATGCATTGTAATCTGATCATTTTATAATTTTACTAGTTGCATTATTGGAAAATATTTTAAATAAACTTGTCAGTTTCCTGTTGAAAGAACTAATATTGATCAACTCTCATTCACATCTAAATATAGTCATATTGGCATGCAGATCGCGATAGTCTAGGGCCAAGTGAATCAAGTTTCGATGAACGTTACTTGTTTGAATAGACTGAATATATTCTTGTGTTTTATATTAATTACGAAGATTCTGTGTATTCAAAAACATATTAGGTCACATTTCATTTTCTGAGTAACATCAAAGATCTTTTTTTGAACTATATGATAATATATATAAATTATATATTATCATGAATAGTTATTATTAAACTAGACAAAACATTTTCATTGTTGCTTAAAATAAATGTAAGTATTTTAAACTTTTCTCATTAATTTATTATTCGGTGCTTTTGAAGGATATTTTCTATCTATGTTTTTCCTGATATTCACGCTATTCTAACATCTTGAGGGGTTATGTGGGTGGGTGTGGATACGAATGTGGGAAAGAAAAGATTCGATCTCATCCACACCCACCCACCGCCGTTAATTGATCATTTTATGATTCATAGTAAGACGAATGATTCGTATTGAACTCACCTGAGTTTCTGAAATCTTTTAATATTTATCAAACAAGAAATAAACGAATTAACAAACTACACTATTGATCCACTGCTTGATATAAATGAAATAGAAAAACAAAATGTCTATTAATTATACTTGACCAGATCATACAAAATTTTTATATCTTGGGTAATAAAATAATTTAATGTAAACAATTTTGTACTTCCGATGAAAAAAACAACCAATCGCTGCATGTCCTAGTCATGAAATAAATCTATACAAATTAAAGAAAAAACATCTCTTTTTCTATGGTTCTAAAAATCCATGTCCCGTATGACCGCTTATCAAGCAATGTTCATAATGAATGAGAGACCTAAATAATTCAAAAACCATTTTTTTTCATCAGTTTTATCTTTCATCTAAATTTCGTTTTTTCTTAAATTGATTAAATTTATTCAAATAAGCAACATTTTACTTTATTATTAGCAAAAGAAAATATTTTTCATATATAAAATTTAACCTATAACCATAAACTATTCTGAATTCTCTTTTTTTTAAATTAAAAATAGAGAAATAATTTTTTTGTTTATAGTATTCCAAACTCAACTAAATTCCGTAACTGGCTACCACATATATTTTATAAAATAATAGTTCAAAATAGTGTTATAAAATAACAAAAATGCACTTTTATTAAATTATATAGATAAAATATTTTATAACATAATCTAATGGAATAAAATTTTATTTTCTCTTCTTCTTCTCTAGTAATGAGTCGGAAAAGAAAATGTAGACAGATTAATGAACCGTTTGTCCTTGAATTATCTACAATATAAGACGAAAACTCGTCTGAATGTGTTGTTATATTATACAGAGATTGCAGCAACATATATTCGAAAATCAGGATTTTTATAACTTGTTCCAATGTTGCTATACCAATGCAACTAAAGTATTGAAGTAAAGAAGTATAAGATTCGCTGCGAGTATAAACAAAAAAGAGAATGGACGATATTGGTACAGCTCAGACAGTTGTAATAAACGCTAATATAAAGTTAACTACTTTTAAAACTCTAAGTAATTGAAAATTCTAAACAATTACAAAAATTTTCAAAATAAAAAACATACCATATAATTATGCATACACAATGATCTAAGAATTTATCTTAAAAAAATTAGGACTTTTTCGTAATAATAGTTATATCTGAATTCTTTTGTTTTTATATCAGAAAAGTAATACGCTTACGAGACCTGATATTATATGCATGGGTACGTTCTTTCTCACTAATATACTACTTAGATAAAAAGCTGTTAGTGCAATTCCCGTGAAACTAAAATATGAAGTAGGAAATGGATATCGTCATATCAGTTAATGCTCCAATTAATAGCGTATGTCACAATCTGCAATACTACTTATTACGAATTACATAATATCAATTAATAATAAGCGTCACGTCTGTGATGATCTTTCTTCTTACCTCAATGTGATTCATATATTCAAATCATAGTACAGATCTTGAATAAATTAATATGCAAAAATATTCAGATATGAAAAGCAATATAGAAGCAAGATTTATCAATAAAGTTGCTTTGTATTTAATATTAAACTCAATTGATGATCTTGGTATGGGAAAGAGATATCAACGATCTTAATCCTCAAAATTAAATTCTGTGATTGAAATGTATCATTTCTATTCTAATAGAATACTAAAATTATATCGATGCTAATCTTTAGATTTGCATTATTTATTTTTACTTTCAATATTTTACGTACTCAAATTATTTTTCTCACATGCTTAACAAATATAATTGAGATCAATGAATTTGTTTTCATGACATTTTAGATCTTCTTCATCCATTCATAAAAATGTTTTTTTCACTGTCTTTTTCATCACAAATTTTTTCATACGTTATGAATT